TGCTAGAAAAAATCCTTAATGATATTTTCTTAAAAGTGCAAAATTTGATGGTGACCTTATAATTATGAAACGCACTGTATTAGCCTCCAAGCCTGTACGCCGCACCATCAGCCCTCACTGAACCTGAAAGTCGAAAAGAACTACATATTGTTAAATAAAACGCTTTATGCTAGATATCTTTGCTGTACAGATCACAAAATAGGATTATGGCTTCTGTCTTCTCAGGCACCAACACATACAGAGAACGATGAGCGTTTTGGGGTATCGAATCGCAAGGGCGGAGGAATATATTGGAGGCAGGGACATCTAAGGGTCTAATAGTGATCGAATAACACACAACACATAGAATTTTAGCAAACAAAGAGAGAGCAAAACGAAATTTGAGCTATCAATAAAAACAGCAATCTCGATGGACATCGTACCTAGTTGATATGATGATGAACAAATCAAAGCAAATGCAAGAGTTAGACCACGATCAGAATTATGGCAGGGCGGAGATAAATGATAAGGAAAATAACAACAAAAATGGCAAAAAAATCAGAGGGAATATAGAAAAAAAGAAACTCCGCGTCTCAGCTACTGGTCATCACAATCGGCACGGGAACAACATGGGCAGGCCAAATCTCTATTGTCAAATACAGCTACCAATATGATCAATAATATTTTTTATCGATTTCCAGCTTCAGTATAACGGGAGCTGGGGATCTCTCACAGTACGCAGCGGAACTTCACCTAGATGGGCAGACGGCTATCCACTGCGTTGAACTCTGTCGAAAACGAGCGGTCACGTTTCGAACAACCAGCATGGGGTTATTATTCAGAGCAGATGGGATAGAAGACCCTTTTTTATAATGGCTGTCTATTCGTTATCAGCCAAGCAATGAGAAAAACTGCGGAGGGTACTCGGCAAGGAAAATTCGTGGAATAGCCATTGAAGTCCTTTGCAAACTACACCTTCGAGCCTAGACGTGACCGCCCCTAACTGAAGTTGCGATGATTTCGCAAGTGAGATTGAACACTTGGCTCCCATTGGCTGCTTTCATAGTCCGCCGGCCGGCCCGCGAGCGCGCGAGCGAGTGAGCACGCCGACCGTGGGACTACTCGGCCAAGGAACAGGCGCCGCCCCCAGCTGGTGCGCTCGCGGGTAGCCGGCAGACTATGAAAGCAGCCATTGCCTTCATACAATTATGCGTCTCTTACGGCAAATTGCAAGCCAACTGCTCAGTGATACATAGAACTGCACTAAATGCTAGCTACAGTATACCCAACTAAGGGTTAGGTAGAACCAATGAAGAGGAAAAGAAATGCGCAATATAATGAAAAAATACTGTCTGAGCAAAACGGTGGAGAGAAATCCCTGAACATTGCATTGACATGGGAAACGCCACGATATGAATGATACATAGGCAGATATGATAGTTCTTAATAAAATCAAGTCAAATAATATAAACAATAAACAATTTAAAAAAAAAAAAGAAAGAGAATAAGTAATGGCAGTTGATGTTCACACTAACAATGAGCTGATCTCTGGCAGAAGTCATAATTGTGGGAAGGTGTTCATCATGTCATAAGTGTAGTGCATTGGCGTGAATTCGGGAACCACCGTCTGAAATAGCTGTTTCACGAATATTTCGATAAATATACGATAATATAAATTCCAATTCTGTTTCTCCTCTGTGATACCAGTTGACTTTGCTCTAGTTATAGAATAAAGCATAAAGTCTTGGGACTATAATCAAACCCCTCTGAGGGATGCGCCCACGCATTCGACTTCCATTCAGAATCGTTGTGGCGTATTGAATGCGTATGTTGCCTATAAAATGACTTACGGTGGCTAGCCTAGTACGAGTCAGTGCTTTTATCCTCCACACGAGCTTAGTACCATAGTCGACCTCGTAGGGATGGAAGACTTGATTGGCACAGGCAGATATCGATCCGGGATTAGAACCCGTGATCATGCGTTGTTGAAGTGAGCCACTTGCTACATCACCAACTCTGCGGGAGCTGGAAACTCCGAGGGGGCGCGAGCAACCCAGAGACCTGCGGCGATATTTCACCCGAGTAGAAGCCTAAGTTCATGTAGTGGAGCCGAAACATGTAGGGTTGCGATCATTGGAACGAGGCTCCCCGGTTTACATACTGCTTTAATACCATTTCACGACCTTTCTTTCGTATCTGAAAAATGCTGCTCCCACTTTTTGCTCACAAAAAAGGGCTGGTGAATGAAAGCCTTAGGGTGAATTGGAAGTAGAGTAAGGGATCAAATCGAGATTGCAGAGCTCAAATTTTTTGTGGCCACAGGTTGTGGTTGATATAGGAAACCGGAGAGCAAAAGCTATGTACCGTACATGAGTTAAAGCATGAATTCCTACTTGGTTGACATTTATTATCGTAGGATCCCAGAAAACCTCGACAGTGAACCCGTTCGGAAGGAAATACTCCCAGTAAATCATTTGCGGTATGGAGTCTGATTTTGACTACGGTTTATAGTGCTGTCAAAAAATCATAAAAGCAGAGAAGAAAAAGATACCTGAGCATTGTCGTCGTGTTTCTTTCCCCTTGGTTTTCGTCCACGGGTCGAATTCATTCGATGAGCATTCAGTCGATCGATCATCTCCACACGGCTCATGCCCATAACTGATGCCCGCATGCTTTCCAGTTTACGATCCCACTCTGAAATTGAAGTGTGAACATCGATGTTGAATGCCCTCAAATCATGGACGATGTGGGAACCAAGACGCATTTATTCGACAAATGTTGGGCGGGCGTTCTAAGCCCACACCGTAGGGAATTGGTAATTTCACTGGAGCCTTTTCTACCAAGCAAACAATACTATCAATGCGGTTCCTCAAAAAGCTGTCCCCTTAACCATGAATAAGTAATAGTAGTAGACAAAACTTTGGCCGGATCAAAGTAAACCATAGAACTGTAAAGCCTTCCACTATATGATTGGTAAAGGTCTCGAAATGGAAAATGAAGTCAAAAAATGAAATAACAAGTATGTCCAGAGAGTTCACCGCACCTTTAAGATCTTTGCAATCGGGAGCCGGATGACAAGTGTTGAGGTGTCTCTTCATATTACCTTTGTAGATGGTAACAAATTCACAGCTATCACAGATGTAAGCGTCCTGGAATTGCCTTAATTTGAATAGCAAGCTCCTCACTGTACCAGAACAAATTTAAATATTATACAATGAGGAATATTCGCTTAAGCATCTTCAAGAATTCTAACAAAAAGGCTTATGTTCTAGTAGTTCAGAATTCGCCTCAAAGATGTTGCACAGTGAGAAAGGTAGAAGTAATTCAACAGTAGAGGTTGGTTGGTTATGGGAAATCTGAAATCAAGGTCGAAGCTCGTTCAGGAGATCGTATTCAGGGAAAATGGTCACGTTCATGAAGAACCCAGAGTGATCGTGTTGTACGATCACTCCCAGAAAAATCCCACAGAGGGGGAGGGGATTGTATGAGCTGGTGATGAAATTCTTCGTGACCCCGTGTTCGAACTCGAACCTCACATAGATGTGAATTGAGGTTCTAAGGAGACTGCGTAACCATTCGCAACGCGAATTGATAATTAAGAAGCTGAGATAATTAAGAAACCATCAAGAAATTTTAGTGACCTGCACACACGAAAGTGCTGAGATGGTAAAGAAGAGGGGGGAGAAGGGAAGGTTAACCAATTGTGAAATGCAGGTCGCTTCTATGTTAATATCGAGCTTGCCCTATGTGACTAATCCGAGTTTCCTCGAAAATCTTCCTTACTTATTACTCCAAAGGTCAATGGTCAGACATAAAAGAGGGCATTTTCGTACTCATTTGTATTTTGGCAGTAATTGCATGTTCTAAGTAGAGCTAAAAACAACCTCAGGTGGATCCGATTCCTTTCGTTGACCTCCCGGCGGTGATGGATCACTGGGCAGTTGTATTTGCTGAAAAAAATAATCGACTGACTTACAAGTTTCCGTACACTGCGATGAATGGTGGTCTGCTTACAAAGGCACATCCTACAACGAGGCTATCCCTCCGTGAAACTGTCCAGATAATCCTTACAGGATTGAAAAGATCCTCATTGAAAGAAAAAGAGCTTTCACAAAAGCCCTTCAAGAGAGACAGTAAAACAAAAGTACTACATGGAAGAAGAGTGAACGGAATGTGTGCGCATGGGAAGAAGGGGACCGTTTGTTTAATGGAAAGATCAAACATTGGGCTGGCTCAAGCTATGGATTCTTTCAGCGGGGAGTAGCCCAAACTTTCTCGTTCCTTCTCAAGAGGAGAAAAAAACGATCGAGGAACAGTCCATAACGAGCTTAAAACCAGAGTAAGAAACTTGACATTTGGAGGATTCCAGGAACTCATACTTTAGTGGTTGAGAATCCGAAATGTTGGGGCCCATTTGAGCCCTCCATTCGAAACTGGTCCCAATGATAATAAAACTCAACAAGAGCCTCAACAGTTCCTCTGAGACCCTGATTATGGCTTGAATAGCAAAGGGTNCGAAATGTTGGGGCCCATTTGAGCCCTCTACTCGAAACTGGTCCCAATGACAATAAAACTCAACAAGAGCCTCAACAGTTCCTCTGAGACCCTGATTATGGCTTGAATAGCAAAGGGTCACAGTTGAGCGGATTTCAAAAATTTTCGTTGGTCGGGCAATCAGAGTTTCATCACCGGTTGGGCACGAGCTCCCGATCGCAGCTCACCACCAACATCGTCGCTGCCGCNNNTCATCACCGGTTGGGCACGAGCTCCCGATCGCAGCTCACCACCAACATCGTCGCTGCCGCTCATCGAGGAAAGTACAAGTCTTGAAAGCTGCGGGTGACTTGTTATCCAAGTCAAAATGTAGTATTCATGAAGGTTTTGGGATCCCCTCAGAGTCGGATGGATCCTCGTTCAAGTGCGAAATTAGAGGTGCAAGAGGAGACGGTCTACCTTTTGAAGGGATACAGGTAAGTAAATTTGCTCTATTCTCCTAGAAATGCCCAGGCTAAGGATTTGAGCGAAACAGAAGTAGTCGTGTGAGTACCCTCAAGGGGATGACGGGTGAGCTTTCCAGTTCTACTATGCTTAGTTATCTAGTTTCCATCATTTTCGATTTTTGCGGGTGTTATTCCTAAAAGAGTTATGAACCTATCTTGACAGACCTGCTCCATCGAGTGCCCGTTCATGTACGCCATGCCATCCTGCTGTAAGTCCTGTTCATGAAGGTAAGAGCCGAGTGCAGGCGACATTACTGGAGATCCAAGAAGACCAGCATTCTGTGATCCCGTTGCTGTAAGAAATGCTTATTATCCTGCATATTACCGGGGAGATTACCAAGGTTATCTAAAAAAAAGTCCATCCAAACCACAAACCTGGATCGAAGCCTTCGTGCAGCACATGTGGGAGCATGGTTTCTTCATGACGACGTCGCTTCGCGTCTCGTCGTCTGTCCTTGTCCGCCCGCGGCCTTTTCTGAGGACTTTCATTTTTACCACACTGATTGATATGTCGACGGATGTTTCCCTGTAAAAAGTTGGATATGGAGAACGCTGTTCCAAGAATCAGAGATTAGATCACGAATCTCGAAAAAGAAGTCCTTGCAACGGCAAGCTCACAGACACAACAGAGATTATAGTTGGAAACTTTGAGCCACCTTATAATGACTGATGAAGCGATCACAGTGAGGGCAAATTGGACTGAGACCATCATGACCGTTGGTTAGCGCACCGGCTTTGATAGCATTCTCCGTGCCCGGAGCAATAGGGTTTCCTCCCATAGCTACCTGGTCCAGGTAGTTCCGTCCTGGAAGAACAACATCATATCGATGTATATGGGTCACGAAGAATAGACTATCGGAAATCAAACCACCTAACCTCTAAGTTAGTCATATCTTCTCTAAAAGGGCTAGACGTGTATGTTGCCAGATGGATGTGAAAATGTATCTCTAATAAACTAACCGATGATTTCCCGACACTTCTCGTTCCTACCAATATGACCGGTTAGGCTTCGTCTTGATGGATAAACTCCTCTGCAAGCCATACACATCACTCGCTCATTGTCAGGACCCTAAAAATTGACCCTGTTCGTTAATGTTGCCAGAAGGAATGGTCAACCAACAAGAACTGTGAACCTCGGTCGAGAAGCTGCTTTAATCTCTATTTCACTCTTACGATGTAGTCACTCTAGCGGTGTAGTGGTTTCGTAGAAAAAAATTCATGACCGCAAAGGAGAATACAGAATTTAAGGGGTAGCTCGAAATTCAACCCTTCCCACTGTTTCGTTCAGGTTCTCCAACTAAGATATCGATCAATGAAATCTCAAAAGTAAGGAGTAGAAAATATAATAAGTTCCGATTGATAGTAGCGCCTGAAAAGGAACCCAAGAAAGGATTCTGCTTAATGATCAGAAAAACGAAATGCTACTCAGTGTTTGTCATGTTGAAGTAGGATCAGTGAGACTTTTTAGGATTGTACATACCACGGAGTTAAACCACTGTTTAGCTCTTACGATTTTGATCTCGTTCCTAGCTCACTCTTCGGTGCTTGAGCTTGATTAAAAGGCACCGCAAAGGGAGGCCGGATGCATTCTGATGTTACGTTTACCGGTCAGTGGACATCGGAGTCAAAGGTTCGTCATGATAAGCTGGTTTTGTACTAGCTAGCATTCCAAACAGTATGAATCTTTCAAGAATTTCCCGATCAAAAGGATGCATTCGAAAGAGTTACAGAGTAATGTGCTCATCAGATAGGAGAATCAGTCTTATACGACAAGGAAACAGAAATGGAAAGTGTCATGGGTGAATTCAGATACGCTAAACCGTCCCAAGTGTTTACCACAACACCAAGATTCAAACAGATAATGGTTTCCAATTATGAATTCAGTCACCATTTCTAGAACATTAAAATTCAGGGGATTAAAGGGTAAGAATCCCCATGCACGATCCTATTTAGCCTTCCGAAAAACGATTTATCATGCCGAAAACAGGTGAGGAAATGGGTCTCAGAAAACAGAGTTGCATGGAATATCAAGGAATACACCGTAGGATGGTGGCGCACAGCAAAATCTAGGTGCAGATGTTAATCGACACAGCAAAATGATTACTTATAATGAAATTCGAAGAAACAAAAATCAGGTGGAGCTTTTTGTGAAATCGCTCTTCCACCTATACGCTAACTGTGGTTTGTCCCACAGTTTACTGTTCCCACCTCATCAAACCAAGACATACTTTTCATAAATTGCTGCACATACATATTGAGACTTGCTCACCTCTAAATCTGTTGAGATCGTCTCTCCAGAGATGGGTGGAGTGTCGGAGGCAGCTGAACCGCTATTGGAAGTCAAAGTCGGGCTGCTAAGTGACGTTTGCTCACACGGAGATACGGTAGATGGACGAGGCAGTGGAGCAGTGGGAAGAATGGCCTGAGTAGGCGCTTGTTGTTGACCAGTGCCCATCGAGAGTGTAGCGGATGACGGGAACTAAATTTGATGATTTTGACTAGGACTATAGGCCCATATCTGAGAAATCAGTTTGAAAATCTCAATCTCAGGAATCTCAGAAGTTAGAAGAGCTCACATCTATTTTATGTTGAGATTGATGATGAGTGAAATGCATAGGGGAGTAGTTGGCAGTGATTTGGATCGGTTCCGATAGGGGTACCTGTTGATCGAATTGGGGGATAGTGGCACGGTGGTAAGCATCCGGGAATGGCTGGAATCTAAAATTGACAAATATCATTTAATTCTGACAGAGGGATAGACCAGAAATTTGATCAAAGTATTCAATGTTCACATTGACAAAGGGATGCAATTACTCAGGTATAAGTACTGACTACTCCTTGTTTAAAGGCCTAGTTGACGATAATTTCGAGTACTCTTTCAAGTGTTTCAAGTGAAAAGCGGAAATGTTGGTAGACATGCGCACCACTGGCGAAGAAAGCGAAAAAANAAAAAATCCGCTAAGATTGCGAAAAAGAAGGCTTTTTCAAGATCAGAGAAATTAGATGTTGTACGAGATTGCAATGAGGAGACAGCATGGGAAGGGTTTCCGGACGAGTTTTCAGTCGTTGCGATAGCGTAACGAGCTGACTACATTGAACCGAAAGTGCCCAAAATTGCCTTCCACTGCCGGCGTAAGTCATGACTAGTTGTTTGGCTACCCACATGGGTATCGCTTGTAAATGGTACAGCTTCTACAACGTCGTTCAAACTCTTCTCTCTTCAAGCCATTATGCCACGCTACCTAGGACGTTTTCTGATCTGCTATCACCACATACCCAGCACGTATGACCAATCAGCATTGTTTCGAGCAACTATCTATTACTTCCTCTTTCCAAGGCCACCGTTTATGGGTGTGCACTTGTTTCACCCTTACATTTTACGCATGAACTACATCTTACTCACCTTTGCTCATGCACTGGATAGTACATATTGGTCGGCTGCTGACCGTACGGACCTGGCACGGCGTCAAAGTAGAAAGTCGAATCACATTCTGAAATATTTTCAGGCTTTTTGTTTAGTTTCAAAGTATTTAAGCAACATTTACATAGTTCATAATAATTGATTGATCATAATAATCAACATGATTGGTCCGACGAAATTCAATCAAATACACAAAAAGTGCGGGTTTAGATTAGTTTGTGGAAGTCCTCGAAAAAAAAGAAGTTGTCCAAAGGTGGGAAGAAGTTTTACATGTCGGGTCAAACGCGGCCAAGATAGGGGTAATTAGGGGCCAAAGTAGGTAAGCCGACGGTCACACCCATAGGTGGACGAGTTTTCACGGCGTTCAAAGACTGCAGGGTTTGCACCTTTGCACCGAGTCGCACACATTACATGCAGGCAGCTTACTGTAGCCAACCATACACAGTGGCACACACATTAAGACACCCCTTCCATACAAATTGTGCCGTCACATTCTCCTCCAACACCTAACTTTACTATCACATTTATTGAAAGTTTTATATTCTGCTAATCTATTTCACTTTGCACTGCACTTCCTCATCACTTTTGCACTATTCTGGACTATAACCTCCACTATCTGTCTAGAACTAGAGTCCCCAAAACTACCGCCAAACAGGCAAATAGTGGATTCCATTCCTATGGGGTTGCCACGATTCTTAAAATCGTCACGTACTGAAGGTTTAGTGATCTCTATGGGCCCTTACTGCTCCCTCTGCTCTATGAGAGAGCGATTCCTAGTTGAGCATCAACGACTCTCTCTTTCTACTGTTTGGCAATGGCNTCAAACATGCAACAAGTAACATGCAGAACAACTGTCGACCGATAATTTTAAAATTTGGCACTGTAGCGTGCAAACCCTAGGAACAAATGGAGGGGAGATGGGCAGTAGGATCGGTTTTGTGAAATCTATTCGTCGCGCGCGACCGTTGCGAACTATTTGCCTCGTTATCACAGTTCCAGCTTTCTTCATACAGCTCAATCGATATGCGATTACTATTTTTGGCATGATTCTAATGTCAATTCTTTTGCTGCTCTGTTTCTTACTTGCCGCTGCCTTCTGCTACATTCCTTCGCGCGCGGCGTCTCTCGCTACGACGCGACAATTTCGATGCTACCGCACCACACCCCAAATAGTATGTTGTCTATCTAACACAATATATGGTTATTCATCAGAAACCAAGTACAACGTTGCAAAGAATTGTTACCTGACTTATTCTCATGCCATTGTTCCGGATAGGCAGCGGTAGATGTGTCACTCAACATGGCGAAGGTAGAACTAAAAAAGTGGGTGAATAGAACCACAAAAAAGTTTTCCTTCAACAGGCTCCGAGCAGATGAGAAGGGTGAAACTCTCTCTTTGTTGAGCGCTGATTGATCTCACCATTACTTCAGTGCACATACCTGAATAGTTCTGAGGTGCCAGAGACCGATGAGGAGGAACCCGGTTGTGGATACTGTTGCCATTGAAACGGATCCATGGCCGGTGATGAGAGAACCTGAAATGTGCCACACTTTCATCAGTAGTTTGACTAACGGTCACCAATCGTTGCCGAAAAATCAGTTACACATAATGATGGGGACGCGACTCAGTCGCAGGTATAAATTACGTCTTGGTCTATTCAGTTGTTCGAGGTCGTTTTTAAGAATTATTTCAAATTAAACCAGTTTAGGTGTAGGTCTAACATAGCTAAAATATAATTTCATGAAGCCATATAATGTACGAAAGATGTGGGCCTAAAACATGACCTGGGATGTGCCACATACAGTTAGATGGAAGCACTCAGAACTGGGAGTATCTACAGCTGATATAATAGGAAACAGACTTCTGCTAAAATTTTATCAATCCTTCTCCAGGAAGAAGCTGCCCTTCAATAAAAACCCACAAGGTGAGGAAGTTTTCCGTCCCAAAGGTAATGATGTACAGTGCGGTGAACTGGTAGTTGTTCTAAGCCTGCCAGCTTAGCCCTTCTCCCCTTCCCCTCCTCTTCATCGTACAAAGGGTTCCTTTTCCAAGCGATGAAGACATAAAAATAGGAAGTATTTTTGTGAAGGCCAGTATCCAGCAACCCGTCGCCATTTGGCTGCGATGGTAAGGTGTGGCTAGGTCATAAATATTCAGCGCACCGGAACTAAACGGGCGACGAGCAAATGCACGAACAGTTTTCAGCCAATATAGAACTTGGGGAAGCTGAGTTATTTGTGATTCAGTCAAGACATGGGTAGTTAAATGGGTCACAGTAACTGACCATGTAACCATTAAGAACTTTGTGACCCCTTCAGCCTCTTTTCAGACGAAGAGAAAGAAGCTCCTAAAACTTGCTGCATGATCTACAGAGAACTTCTTGGTTTGATTGAATTGGGAGCATGAATCTTTTCGCAGTATTACCGGAAAAGACGAAGGTTTGGGTTTTTTTGTTTGAGTCTACAAGTTTGGAGTCGTAGCAAACGGAGTTACGCCAACGCCCATCTCGACCATATTTAACTTCTTACGCCAACGGACAGCCTTTCTTGTCATAGTCATTCGACCATTTGATATCTTCCTGGCCGGCTGTGTAATTGGTACTTTCTCCATAATAATAATAAAATTATAACAGGAACGTTGGTTAGAAGTAGACGGAAGAAGTAGTATAGGTGCGGTGTTTTCAGGTTGCAAAAGCTTCTGAAAGAGCTCCTGAAGTAGGCTGGAGCCTTGTACAATCTAGAAGATTGGTCTAAAGAGAACAACTTAAAGTTCTACTCAAGTTGGTGTATTCCTGGATCCATGACCTTTAGGACCCCTTTCCAGAGAACGGTACAATCACCAATTATTGAAATGAGGTGACCGCTCTAGATAACACACAGCCGATCAACATCGTCGGTGAAATTTACCGGCTGACGCTGATTGACGGGTTCGTTCGACATACACAGCGAACGGGTTTTGCGCAGGACTCTGGGGGTTGCTTAATTTTCCCGCATCTGTATGATTTTCTTAAACGTTCGCTGTTTCTTCTAGTCATCCATCGCGGTTTCACTCGACTGCTGTCGATCTCGTCCGGATGTATCAATCGTTTCCTAGTCATGCGATGGCGGTACGTCAGCGTAGATGCAGCAAAAAACGTGCGACGGCTGCCAAAAACTGGTTGGGATTTTCTCGAGCTGACCAGCAACTGCGCAGCAAACATCAACAGCTGTCACCGTGGAAGGACATGAAGTGAACTGCACTAAACGAGGACTGATATGAACTCCATTCCATCCACCCGTGAGTAAGGCGCTCGTGGGAGCGGTAGTTAGGCGAGCCGCGGTCGGGGTTAGCGATAGATACGATCAACGCGACGCAAGGGGACGATCAATCGCGGTCAGGTTATGCCGCATGGACAGTGAAAACTCTATTAATTTATCCATCGGGATTGTGACGACCCAAGGACGACTGGCGCACCACCAGTGCTGGCCGCGCGGACCGCGCTTGGGCGCTCCTATGCCTCGAAACCGTACAATAGCCTAGATGTATTTGAACAGCAAACGAAGAAGTTGGATGGAATAGCACCATCAGTGTTAAGTCGACTTCACTTCAACACCATCAGTGTTAAGTCGACTTCACTCTCAGGTGATGGTAACTGAGGCCTTCTTGCCATTAATAGTGGGTTCCGTACCTACCTTGTGATTGAAACGCCATGACAGGTACACTTTTTTAGTACCGAATTCCATCCGTGGTTGTGCAGCGTTTAACGCCTACTCGGTCCATATTACAACTTATAAGAACCACTGGGTCTTCATAGCGGCTTTTCCCGAACACCTACTGAAGTAGGTGGGTTCCTGAGAAAAGAATGTTCAACAGGCTAAGGTTTAGAACGGCAGTGGGAGGACTGAGCATTATTGAAGCGACGCCGCTTTTCATTACTGTAGCTGGACAAAACAGGTATATAAAATAAATTCTAGAAAGGGGTGATAGGGATGGTCGAAGTCAATGAAGAGTAATGGGCCATGGTAGGACAGTATTCAGATCGCTCAATTGACAGTACAAAGCAGTAAAAGATTTGGGTTTTTCCTCGTATGGGGAGATTCTTTCAAAACACATGTTCCATCAAAGGAAATGATAGAAATTCATCAAAAAAGCTGATGGTGATGGGCTGATAAAAGACGAAGCTCTGAGAATTGAAAAGTCACGAATAATCCTATTTTCGGGTGCGGCTACAAGTCAAACTTCCGATCGGAATAGTCATTCTCTCAGAATGTCTATCTCGCTGTACATAACGAAAGAAATTGAACTACGATTCAATAAGTCTGTCTGCCAAACGGATCCTTAATCAGAGGATTAATCCCGGGCGGGCAGCTCTCGATTCGGCTCAACCCATTGGCCTCCCTTGCGATACTCGGGCAATTGACCCGTGTTCATTATTCGACGGGATCTCATCGAAGTCACTAATTTATAAACTCATGGAGCTATCATTATGCTAACCGGGGCACTTGATAAAAGTGGATTCATCGAGAAATCGTTCATGGACAGTCGAAGCAAAGGTTTCAGCACAGAATGCATTCTGTCGTTCGGAAGGAAACGCATCGACTCTGGGCACTGGCTCAAGCCTCACACGTGAAAGCACCGAAAGTTATGCAGACACGAGGTAAGCGAAACTGTCGGGTGGGAAGATATGTGTCTTACATACAGAACCAAATCATTAGGAGAGCTATTTCCGAGAAATGGAACCAGAGTTTCATGAAAATAAATCAAAGAACTCAAATGCAAATAATAACCAGGGTATAGGAACTTGACAAAATGGAGAAACAGCGGATGGATCTCGCTGAACGTGGAACTCTATACTGAGGAAGTTGAAGTAGGTTGGGGAAGAAGTTGCTGCTCGTTACTAGAGAAAGAGGAGGCCCGCTAGTTCTTATTCTCGCTTATTCATCAGCTAATTGTGTGGAGACTCAAAGACACCCTGTTCATACAATTATTGGTTGTTTACTAATACTAGTTATCATAAAACACCTTGAGGCCCACTTGTTTGGGAGCAGGGGGTGACTTCGTGGAGGAGCCAGTGGGCAACTGGAGGGCCAACGTGCTCTTAGTGCTTTTTATCATGTTGCAAGAGCTATGGGATCAATTCTATCGACACCCTGAATCAAACTAAGTGCTGGTTGAACGTAAGGTCATCCCTTCGAGGGTAGATGTAGAGAGGTTCTCTTCCTTCAGTAGTAAAGACCACAACTCATAATAACCATGAGGAGGTAGCCTCATACCTGAACTGAATGACTTAGGCTACACTCACGATCACCTGCCTCTTATACAGCCTCATAAAGGTGCGTCCACTCCGCCACTATTTGAAGTTTGAGCAACTGACGTTGTATGTAAGTGAAAAAAGGCACAACTACAGAATTTTCATTCAGGGCCAATGCTGGTGCTCCATTATCTGAAGAGTTCCTTTTCTTGGGGTTTTTTTTTCCAAATTCCGACCGTTAGTAACATTGCTGACGAAACCTTGCCCTATATGTAGCTCTGTTGTGTCTTCAGAGAAATGTTGAGTTAGTTGGAAAATTCCAAGCACCTTCTATAAAGAAAATTGAAACAAATGAGTCCGATTTGATAAATAATAAATATGAGCGTCCCAACAAGGAGTCCCTTTTGGATTGCTGAGAAACTAGCCTTTGACGGACTTCAAGAGAAGTCGAGTTTTTTTGAATGGAATAAAAACTTAGTTAATCTAAAAACCTAGCTCTTTCTGGGAGCACTATTGAACACCTTGAGTTGAAGGTTTGCATCATCATTTCCCAAAGTCAAAATGGCAAAATATTGCGAGAGCAAAGAATGGCGGCGGAGACAAATTTGACAAAGTGGAAGAAAGTGGGAATGTTTCTCAAATGAATGGCTCTACCAATTTTTCGAAAATCATGATAAAAGAGCCTACAAAACGTAACCCTTCCACTGAAGATAGTATTGACCTTTCGGCTCTGCAGCCGGCTACAAAAGTACTGGATTATGATCAGAAATGAGCTGGGTTTAGTAGAGGATTTCGTGGACACAGGACAATTCCCAACAGTGCCCTCTGGGCAAGGCTAAGTACAACAGCATTATAAAGATTCATCATAAAATAACAGAAGTATGGTCATGTTATGAGCGTCTTTGGACTACTTGGGCATATCAAGCATTTGTTCAGGTGAACGGCAACACTAAGAGGAAGTCCATAGTAAGGTTTTGAGAAACTGACCATGCCGCTGTTGTTTGGGACATTCATATCAGGTGTATCAGTGAGCAAATGGCGCAGCATTGAGAATGTGGGATGAGGATCCTGAAATGGCCCGATGAAAACAACGGCAAGAAAACTGGTTGATATACAAATGAGTAACGGTTGAGTAGCACAGCATAGCCGTATAAATGTCAAAGCGCTCATCCAGAAATCGTTGGATACTGAGACACAATCAAGAACGATCATCTGACATAAGTCGAACAAGGGATATGCTTACCTTGTTAGTAAACCCAGGAGGGGTTGAAGGAAACTACGATGGAGTAGCCCCTCAACGTCCTATCCCCACACTGGTCGTGGCGACCTGGAAATAGGAAATGGATGTTTTTTTTTCATTCGAAAGTTTCACGGGAGCGAGTTTACCTCGAGAACAATTTCGATATCGATTCGAATATCTACAAAAAACTCTATGAATGACAACGATAGACACCGAGACCAAGAACGAATGCATAATGAACGAGAGAGAAATGGGAAAAATAGCGTCGCAAGAAAAATGCAAAGTAATGCCAGCAGAGGGTTCGATGCAGAGAAAAAAGCAGCAAAATTCTGACCAATTCTGACTAGCCCACATGGGAGGTTCTCTTACCATTTTGCGGTTACGGTATATTTGTTTTGGGTGGGGGCGCCGGTCGAAATTTGAGGGGTGACTACAGCCGGCGGGCGCGCGCTCAGGTGCCCCAATTAATCGAAAACGCGGTCCTCAGCCGCGGGTACCGTAATAACCGAAGTGGGAGTGAAGACGGGAGAATTTATTGTTTCTGCTGCAGGATAGGCTGGCTGGCTGTCGGAGAAGACCGATAGAGCCTTTTTGGATAGGTGCCAAATAAGAAAAAGCGAAAACATAAGGAAGCAGCAGTATTGCAGTAATGAAGTCAGTGGACGACAAGCGCACTGGCGCTTGTTCACCGAACAACGACGACACGGCCATGGTAGAGTTGTGTGGCAATATTTGACTGGACTGTTAGCGTGATTTTTTTCGACACCTTCTGCGAAGGAACTGGCAACGAGTGTCCTTCGACGACGAGAGTACGATTACGACCGTCCACACCACCTCCACGGTAACTGTTCATTGATAACGAAGTAATTCCATTAGAAAGGTCACACACACACACGCACACACACCGATGACGATGGCAAACAAAGGCTAGTACCGTAGCCAAGAATTTAGTGTAAATGGCAACTGGATGAACGACTGGACACTTCTCCCACATGGAAGACGTGGTCAGTCAGTGCGGGTTCCTTCGGTAGGCTCACGTGGCTGCAGACTAATCTACCAAAACTTCGACACCTCCAAATGGGAAAAATCGACAGAAGACCGTCGTTGTCACCTTTTTGGTGTAGCTTTCGTTGCAACAAGGAACCATGCTCAGTAAAAAGTCCTTGCACTGATACATGCCACCCCGGAACTCCAGCTCAGATAAGAGAAGGAAAGAAAATGAATAGTACTAGGGAGTGGGATGCATTAAATTATCTTTGTATACAGTAATAACGAAGAAAAAATCAAGAATAAAAAAATTCGTCACAAAAGCAATTCTGATGCACTTCACACAAATACAAAGAAACAAATAAACCTTCTTTCATACCCCTCCTTTCTCCG